GGATGAGATAAATATATTCCGACAAAAAATGCGAAGCAAGTAACTGCTGATATACACATTCATAGCTAAACTTTGAGCAGGCAGGAGAAAGAGAAAGGAAAGTCTGAATCAGAGACAAATATTTCTCTGGGGGATTCAGTGCAATTTGTGGTTTGTATGGACATCTGTCTCCATCTTGTACCAGAGATAAACCAGCATCCTTAACAAGTGGTAGAAACATTGCTTCTACCACTATATAGATTTTAGATGGATTGTGACAAGATGCTGCATGGAGACTTGAACACGCATCTCCGCCTTCTTTTAACCTCAACAGCCTGTAATTTAAACATGTTTTTTCTTTGATTCCTTAGAAACAAATAAAGGAAAACATACTATTGTGTGTTTTGCCATATTTTATATATTTTATTTACTTCTTCTTCTGCTTATATCTGTCCTAGCTTCACCATGTGACCAAGAAGAATACTGACACCTAATGTCTAAAACTGCCATTGACGGTTATATCAGTTGTATAAGATCATTTTTAGCTGCACATATGAGTTAATCATAATCAGCCCATCGTCTTCCAGCTATCTGAGATCAGATTGCATGCTTCCAGTTAGCATGTGAAGCTTATTGTGGTTGACATGGGTAGGTTACCCATCTGAAGGCTTACCCATGTTATAAATGTCATAAACAACAAGATAGTTTTCCTGTCTTACAGTTTAAAATTATTTTATTGGGTTGCTAGAGTAAGCGACTGAAACTAAACAATGCTGCCTCTCCTCGGCTTTTTATGAACAAAGACTACTTTTCCTCACTTACAAGAAAAACAAATGTGGTCGTGTAGAAATATTTCCAGAAAAAATAAACATTATTTATCATGGTTTAACTATAAAGGTATGCATCAACATCATAATACCATTTTAAAGATGTCCAAGTGACCTCAGCTGACTCCATTTGATGTGATGAATCAGCATCTCCTCTCTGTTCCTCCTGGATGTTGGAGCATGTCATCTTATCTCAATGGAAATCAGCCACACTGACTAGCTTCCTGTTTGTCACTTTGGAGGACATATGATAACGCTGCTGCAGGAAAAAAAAGTTTCTGCAGTGAAAGACAAAAATGATGTTGAATTTAGCAACAGACAAGTTGTAGTTTTCCAGATTAAAACATTGTGGCTGTTGGTGTTTTCCAATAATAAAGAGGGTAAATTGGTTCTTCACTGACACCATGCAGTTCTTTAGATCAACACAAAATTTCCTAATCACTCATCTGATTTGGTCTTAATGAGAATCATTTTCAAATTTTACATCTGCGCATGCGTCGCAGTTGTTGCTCACCTCGCTTTTCCTGGAGGACAAACCATGGTTACAATTTGTGACATCAGTGCAACGTTCCTAACGCCCTACTATTATTGTTTTTAAGTATAAATAAAACAAATCTGGAAAGCAAAATAGTTTCAGAGGAGCTCTGCAAAAACACCGTTCCTACTACACACAGCCTTCGTTCCAGCTCCTTTGTTTGTTCAGTGTTTTTTCTCACTTCACCCCTGAAACTCCACTTGTCAGCGTCCATCAAACAAACACTAAATGCTGCATACGTCCCACTTTGTAATATCTCCTCTTCAATTATTTAATTTCTTTTTCGTGATATGTCAATACTGTATTCCTTTACATTATTTGCAATTTTAATTGCAAATAATGCAATCTTGAATATAATCTTTTATTCGACTTTCATTTGATCATGACGTATATCTCATATTGTTTTTACAACATGCTTGTTTAAACAACCCTAGCTTACTGTTCGGTTTTTTTATATTGACTGGAGGTTTATCTGTTCCTCCTCAGCCAAGTCCTCAAACCCAAAGAAGACGGGAGGCACGAGTAAAAACACCACCTCCACCACCACCACACCTCGTTCTCGGGTGCCCAAGGACGCTGCGGCCCGGTCTGAAGGGACGCCTGCAAAGACCACCAAGAAACCAGATGCTTCAGCTTCTTCACCCAAACCTCAGAAAGCCTCCACAGAGACTCCTAGTCAGCCTGAGGACCTAAAATCATCTTCGCCTTCCTCAGACAACAAACCTCCTTCATCCAAACCCTCAGGAAGCAAAGCAGAGGGAAATCAGGCTGTTTGTTTGAAAGCTGATCTAGAGTCGAAATCGGCTCAAAATGACACTGCTTCAAGGGAAGAGACTCGCAAGTTTGTGGCTCCTGAGATCACAGACCAGTCTTCTCATATCAACCAGACTACAGAGGACACCTCCTTCACAGGAGACAAAGACGACGGCTCACAGGGGGAGAAACGTGAAAGGACAGAATTAGAGGACGGAAAAGATGCGAAAAAGCAAGGACAAACAGATTGTGGTAAAGAGAACGACTCCAGGTAAAACCTTGTGACGTTTATACTTATCTGCCTTTGTGTGCCATTTTTTGTTTTTTGATCATATAGTCTGATAGTATTGACGTTAATAATTCATACCATGCTAAAGTTCTGGCATTGTTAAGTGTCATTTAATCTCTGGAATAATCGGTTCTGTGAAGATCGCAGAAGTTTGATGGAGCACATTGGAGAGCTCTAAACATTTCATAGAGTTCTGTTCAAATCACCATTTGATCACAGAACAGGGATAGTACATTGATGAAAATACCAGATAAACCTTTTCCCTGAACTAAACAGATAATTTATTAGAGAAGCAGCCAGGATGTCCAGATTAAATATGTAAGAGAAGTTAATGAAGTTAAAACAAGTGAGTAAAGCTAAATGCAAATCATTCCTGGAAAATCTGCTTGAAGTCTGAAACAGAGGTTGACATCCCCAAACGTACAGTCAGCGCTCTAGATCAGAGCATAGCCATGTGTTGGAATGGCCTAGTTAAAGTCCTAAATCCAATTGAGAATCTGTTACTCAGACACTCTTCATCCACTCTTGGCTTGAGCTTTTGGCCAAAGAAAAACAGTAAGCATTTTACTTTTTAGATTTGCTAAGCTGCTGTAAATGTAACTGTTTTATTTTCAGAAAATAAAACTGAATACATACGCAAACAATAATTTGCACTAAAATAAAACTCTGGATACCAGATATGGTTCTCCTTGCACATCACAATGATGCGTCTCCCATTGTTGGTCTGTCGCTTTAAGTGCTTTTTGGAACATATTTTGTTATGGTCCAAAAAGCGTGTCTTATTGGAACGTAACAAAACAAAAAGTCAAAAGTGTATGAATTTTTTTGCACTGAACTGTTAATCAGTCAATTTGTTAAGAGAAGCAAACTAACTATTATTTTCCCAAGCTTAAGCTGGGAACCCAGGTTGCGCTCTAGTTGTGTTATTGACCTGTTATTGACCTGATATTGGTCTGTGCAGGTCAGCAGCGGGCGATTCAGAAAAGCAGCCGGGTCTGAGCGTGAAGACGGACCAGGCTGAGGTGACGGTTATCCCCGACAGGCCAAGAGACAGCCAGACCAGTGATTCTGATTCGGATGGACCCATCCTGTACCGGGGCGACGATGATGAAGAGGACGACGAAGATGAATACACAAACAGTACGATCTCAATTTAGTGGTGTAGTAATAAGTGTCTGACATGAAAACAAGCGAGTTGTGTTGGGAATTTTATTTGGACTGTTCTTTTTTTTAAACTCATCTGAGTGAATCATAATCTGACTCACCAGTGTACCAGCATGTTTTATTTTTATTGTACTAGAACTGACATTCAAATCTTCCTCATTACCCATCAAGTTCATTTTTTGTCATCTTAGTCAGTTAAACCTCTTACTTAACTCCCCAGGTTTGCACAAATAAAAAAAGCCCTCATGTATACCTGTCTACTTTATCAGCAATGGATTACTTTAATATTTTATGCGTTAATCATCAGTCAATATTAAGTTTTTCTTCAAGTGTTTTTTATTGCCTTAAGAACTCAATTTATCGATCTCCATTCCCTCTTGTCAGACTCCTTGGCCAGCAAGATCCGCCGGCGAGACACGCTGAACATTAAGCTGGGCAACCGACCCAGCAAGGAGGAGTTGGAGGAGAAAAACATTCTGCCAAGAAGCTCAGAGACGGAGAGGCACGAGCTCCGCCAGCAGATAGGCTCCAAATTAGTCAGGTACACACACTGAGACTCACTAAAGGATGCTGTGAAAGTGTGGGTAGGTGCTACCTGTCATAGATTTGGCTCAGCTGTGGGACAATAACAGATTGGTAATGATTTAATGGCGTTGACGTGGGTGGTGTAATAGTACCAGTGATACGCAATGAAGCACTGAGGATGATGGCAGTCAGCACTGGATCTATTATAATCAACAACAAAGGGTGTTAAATAGATTTTAAATGTGTTAGAATAATATTATTTTTTCTTTCTGAGGTCAGGGGGATGTTTCAATTATATTCTGTCAGCCCTTTTGTAAAATGGCATGTGAGCATAATCTTCTTGTTTTAGACGCCTGAGCCAAAGACCCACCACAGAGGAGCTGGAGCAGAGAAACATCCTCAAACGTAAGTCTATAAAATCTTTTCCTAATCTTCATCATGTGAAGATTAGGGCAGGGTTTAGGGATATTACTGATAGACTTGGCGTTACAAACAAACACGTTTCAGGCAAGCACAACACCAAATGCACAGAAAGGCTTTCTTGTAGAAAACGGTTTTGTCCATTCCTTCGACGTCTCAGCTCAGCACATAAATGTGAACCCGTAAGAAGATTTTCAGCGCTACTTTAGCGTGTTCGGCTGGTGCAGAGCAAATAAATTCATCCCAGGCGCAGAGTAACTCAGCTTTCACAGCTGATGAGTTCAAAATGGGAATTGGCTGACAGATCAAGTCCTGTAATTTCATTATGTAATCTTGTTGTGTGAAAATAAACAAATTGAATCTTTGAAGAAGAAACAAAAAAACACATCTTGAAAATGCTAATGCACATCCTTTCCTTCCTGCTCCAAAGGGAAACATGGTTTGTGGTCATCATTTTCTAAAAGTGATGAATGAATGTGTGGGATCATGGAGCAACTCTGAACTCCAGTTGTTCATAATTAATTTTATCCAGCCTCCTTCAGCTCCTCACATAGCCTCATGTGTCTCCTAAACAGACAGACAGACAGACATCATATCTTGTTGTATTTTCACAACAAAGTGAAAGTTTTAAGAAATATGTTAACATATGTTTTCTAAAAGTTACCAAAAGCAGGTGGAGCAATGAAATGTCTGGCTGGCAGTTTTTCTTTCCCACAACGTCAGTAGTTTCAGCCCTTGGATGGATGATGAGAATTCATATGGCAAACCAATCCAGCTTCGATTTCACTGTCTGGAAAACAGAAAAACATGATCATATTGTCTCATATCTTAGCGACTTATAAAATTTGAACAGTTAAAGGTGTGTATTTTGACTTAGGAAATCCCATGTCAAATAAAAGCAGAAGCTTGTTGCAGACATGGTGGGAGTGAAATGACTGCTTATTCTCTGCATGCAGAAAAAAATGAAGCTGAGGAGAAAGAAGCCAAGCAAGAGATTAAGAGGAGACTTACCAGAAAGGTACTGTTAACACTGAGTACACACGCACACACACAGGGCACACTTATGGGCTTTACTTTACCATGAGGCATGAAAGGAGGCAGAAAATTGGCTTTTGTGGACAGATGAGCTCATCTCGGGTTCAGTAGGTGGAAGAGGAGCTGAGAAATCTTTCGAGTTTTTTTTTTTTCTTCTGTGAAAGACTTGTTTTTTTTAATCTACCAAATTTCCCTTTTAATACTAACATCTCTGTTGTGGTTTGTGTGTGTAGCTGAGTGTGAGGCCTACAGTGGCAGAGCTAATTGCTCGGAGGATTCTGCGGTTTAATGAGTATGTGGAGGTGACGGACGCCAAGGATTACGACCGTCGGGCAGACAAACCCTGGACACGGCTTACTCCCGCCGACAAGGTACTGCTGTCCATTTACTTTGCTTTGCTACTTCAGTTGTATCCCAATTTTTCTAAAAGCCCTAATATATTATTATTTCAGGGTACCTTTTCATGTATTAGATTAAGAATGGGCTGATTAGTAGATTAAAGGCCCAAATAATCAACCGAAGCACAAAGTTTTACACTTATACTGAGCACAATAAGAGATAATTTAACATTACTTTTTCTATTTTTATTCAGCACAGCTGTTTTGTCTAAAAAATCTGATGTTTTTGGTGTTGCATGTGTTGATCATAGTTCAGGCTATGTGCCAAGTCTGCCCCCTACTGCTACTGTTTGGAACTGCACGTCACACACAGTTCATAAATTGGGTCACATTGAACACTAATGGGAGCGTGCGCCTGATTATAAGAGATTAGAATTAAATACCGAAGCAATTCCAGGATTGAAAAATGTTAAATGGATTGTTTACTTAAGGTGCAGGAGCTGTCGACCTAATCCAACTGGACTAAATAGTTTTGAGAGGTAAAGTCTGGAATATTCTACTCTGTTCTTCACTATATTCCTGCAAAAAAAGGACATTATTATGGGGGCATAATGTCCTTATTATGCTGCTCCCTTGTTGTATCCCTTAGCCTAAACCAGTTTTAGTTGTATTGAAATGTAATTAAAATAATTTTATGACCAAATTTTATTTTGATTTTTTCTATGTATAAAATTTTAGTTTTGTGTTTTATCAGCAGACTCTTGCCACTGAAGTAAAATTTACCTTCTGATTTTGAAAAGGTTTCAAAATGAACATTTTCAATAGCAGAATGATGAGTGCAGCTGCACTTGCGGTGATGTTCTAGTACATTTAAGCCCTTCCCATTATAAAAGATCAATAGATCCAAATAATCCTAATGTTTCCCTTTGGACAGCTAATTAATGTGAAGGAGCTCGAAATTAGTTATTTCAATGGAGCTTGCTAATACTAAATTTTGCAAAACTTTTATTTCCCTTGTCTTGTTTTTCATCATGAAACCATGTTGGCTTATTTATATATTCCATAACTGCAGCAAAAGGTTGCATCACCTTTCACAGATATTGGGACTCTTTGTAAAAATATTCCCTATATCACAATGTTACAAGATGTTAAATAAATGTTTGTTTGTTTTTGCCGAGACATAATCTTACATTAAAAACTTTAATTTCATTGTATATTTCAAGGCGTCAGTTTTGCCATGTGCTCCAATAACCATTGGCTTTGGAACAGAACCAGGCCCACAGCATCACAGCTCCTCCTCCATCCCTGACAATAGGCATGAGGTGTTAATCCACATATTTGTCCAAACAGGGAACTTTTGTGGCTACACAGCTCGTGTTATTCAAAGGAAAAACATCTAAAAAGTGCTGTAATCTGAGTCAGGTCAGCGACTCGGGTATCGTTTTGTGGTTTAAAGATTTTCTCATCATCGCCTGTTTGTGTTTGTGCGTCCTCCGTCCCCCAGGCCGCTATCCGCAAGGAGCTGAATGAGTTTAAGAGCCGAGAGATGGAGGTTCATGAAGACAGCAAACAGTTTACAAGGTACCCCTGCAGTCATTTCACTCTACTTAACCTGACTCTGAGGCTTCATCAGTCATTTAGCTCAGTGAATCATGAAGCCGCGCTGTTTATTAGCCCTCGCTGATCAATACATGTTATTGTGTCCTCCTAAAGCCTTTCCCACTCTCCTTATTAAAGTCATGGTGGGTCAGTTTCAGTTCATTACCTGCCAGCGCTGATTACCTCTGTCCAGATTTGTCTCTCAGACGTTACTACATCTGAGCAGAATTGGATTTGTGAACAGAACTAAAAGTCTGAGTCCAAACAAACACGTCACAAAAAATAACTTTGTATTCTTGTCTCATTATTGGTGTAAAATAAATCTAACACTAACTGTGGCACAGTGGGCTTTCAGAACCCTTTTGGGAACCTTTCCTAAATTTTCCTTTATTACAAAAATTGTATATTAATATTTTTGGGCAGGCAAAAGCAGCAAAGTGACCCATTTTAAGGTGATAAAACTGTATTTTTTTCTCTTTATATTTATATGTCAACAATGCTTTTTAATGCGACTTCATGACTTGGTAGAAATACGTATTTTGGCAACACGCAGAAATTATGAGGTATATGTCATTTTAAACACAAGATTGAATGTTTTTTACCTAAAATATCAACTAAAACATCTGAACTTACGAGTCATCTTTATTTTGCTGTAGTCTGATTAGGCAGCAGAAAATGTAAGCAGGTTCAGACTAACAAAGTTTTCTCCCACTGGAGCGATTACCTGTCTAAATATTGTTCTTTCGGTTTCTTAAAAAATCTCTAATTATCTCCCAGACAATTCCAAGTTACAATCTGAAATTCTTTGCACCGTGGAAAGTTAGGACAATTTAAAAAAGAAAGTACTTCCAGGGCTTTTTCCTGGAGCACCAGGGTGATTTGTTTTTACTGTGGTCAATGCAGTGGAAATGGAGAGAGTAAACAACGTACCTGTTTCCTGTTGTTGAAACACAGCTTTCCATGACAACAGCTAAATATTTTTCTTGGTTGATGCATCAGGTTTTCTTGTCATAAAAAAACCCTGAAAAATAGAGAAATTTTGTTTTGTCTAGGTAATTGTAGACAAAAATTGTTTAAAAAAAACCTTGACTTCATTTATCTAAAAGAAGAGAAAAATAACTTGGTTAAACTTTATATTTTCTACAAATATGTGACAAATAAATTTTATGCAGCAAATAACCGTCATTTTTGACTTTTTCAAATCTTGAGTTTTTGTCCAATTCATTGATTAATTAGATTTTAAATTACTAGCAGATAAAAAATACATTTGTTTGCAGTATGTGTCCCTGCTTTTTCACCTCTACATCTGGGTCTTAAACTGAACCCAAGACTGTAGAGCTTAGACAACTTGGAAAGTAATGAAATTACATTGTTTTTATTTTGCGATATTAAACTAATCACAATATGAGTAAAAATGTAGAATAAACCAGATTTCTTTAAATGTTACAGATTTGAACTGGTTTAAGTTGTCCAAATACCCATAAATAGTGAAATATCCCTTTTCCACACTTAGTCATGTTGCTTCATGGATTGTGGAAAAAGGCAAATGTTTTGTGTTTAAAAATATCAGTCGTCTTACTTGAAATAGACAGAAATGTCGAGGACCACTGCAAATTTTCAATAGAAACATTGTCCAACCTGGCATGTTTTGTTGAGTCTCTGCTGGTGTTTTTCCATCTGCTTGTTTTCGGTTTTAATAGACGAGACTCTGTTGTGTTTCTGCTTTCAGGTTCCATCGGCCATAATGGCTCCTTCTCCTCTCCATACGTCCTCGCCTCGTTTCTCTTTGAAGCCTGTCGACATCTTTGAAACGGACACTTTGGCCTGTCGAAGCAGGGAAAACCTTGTTTTCATTTATAAAACCAACCATGTGTATTTAGATGAGGCATGGTGGTGTTCTCTGTCAGAGGATGCGAGGATGTTTATAAAAACTGTGCTACCTTCACTCAGATTTACTTAAACCTGGCTTCTTCTGCTAAAGCATATACATTGTCATCTTTGACGGGGGTCTGTTGCTCCTGGTGATACATATTTATGTCTTTAATGACAGCTACATGTGTGTCTTAAGGCCTTGGCCATGTTAAGGCACTTTTGAAACATTTGCACATACCTGTTGTGATTATAGTGCTGTGTATAGCTCGCTGAATAGGACCTCTTATTTATTGTAGAATATCAGAACATTTGGGTATTTTATTGTTTTTGTTTTGTTTGTGTGTTTTGTTTTGTTTTTTTTTTCCCCCCACTTCAGGCCTTGTAATGAGAGGTTGCTGGGTGGAAAGACGTGCAGCATTGCCTTTGTAATTGTGACTGTGGCTCAGATGTGTTGTAAAGTGGTGTTCTTGCCAAGTTATGCCATAATCTTACACATGCCCAAATATGGACATCCTCCTGGAACAGGAAACGGGGGATGATAGGACGGGGGGTTCAGGATGATGTCAGTGCCTGTGGGACAGATTGCACAGGAGGGGGAGGCGGTTTGTTCCGCTCTGATGTGCCTCACTGTGAAATCCCCGTTTTTAGATCTGTTCCAAACATCGCCACTAGGGGGCATTATATCCTAGTTCCATACTAGGATCCTGATGTCTGTGGGTGACGATTATCCCCTCGGCTGCTGAAGCTGTCAAAGACGTGGACGCCTTTAGGCTTGAATAGTGAAGTGTAAATTATCATCAGCCTACTGAAAGTGACGTCTGCTTCCTCAGCACATCTTCTGATCATGTGACGCCGTATATCCTGCGCCGAGCCGTTGGCTGCAAATAACGATCACATCATGCTTGGCTTGCTGTTTTCAGATTATACTATCTCTTTCAGTTGCAGTTTTTTTTTTATTTAAGACTTCTTGCCTGGTGCCTCCCTCGTCCAGATGAGTTGGGGTAATAAAAAGCAGGAATTTAATTCCAGGTTGCCTTTTTAATTAAAATAGAAATAGGTTAAATTGTTGTTTGGAGGCCTAATAATGCACGCTTGAAATGTTGCCAATGATGCAGTGATCTGAAAATTATGTTTACTAGAGTTTCTACCTAGTTTTTTGAAGTTTAGGCAAAGTCAGAGTATTATCATTTGCAAGTGTGGATACTTTTACTCTTTACTATCAATTCTTATGAATTGAATTATTGGAACGAAGTGCCATTTTTTCATTGTCTCATGCTTTGACATGTTTTTTTATTTTATTTCGCCAGTAGTTCCTTCACTTCAACATTTTAGTTATCAGTATTTTGGTTCTTTGGTTTCTGGCTGAGGACCCAAACATAAAAACATTTAAAAAAAATTTATTTTAGACGACTTTAAATCAAGATATTAAACTGAACCTGGAGAGTGCCTAAATTGAGCATGATTCACTGAGGTGTAAACACCAAAAAAGGTTAGAAAACAGTTTTTTTGTTAATAACTGAGCTTTAAACAATCAGGTCTAATTTGTTTAACCAAGAATCCTAAATTTCAAACAAGAACTGATATAAATTGGTTAAAAAAACAGATTGAAATAGCCCTTTAAAAAAGCAATGATGATGTAAAGAATCATTAAGGAAAGAAACATGTTTACCAAAGCTGCGTTCCTCTTTCACACGTCGCCTTGACATGCATCTTGATAACTTTCTCTCTCTATTTTCTTAAGTACCTTTATAGTTGTGCATTTTGTTGCACCACTTTATTTTGAGTAAACTGATCGAATTCATGCCCTAAAAGTAAAGGGGTGATACGGAAGTCTGAATTGAGTTTTATTCTTCGTTCCTTTTACATATGTGTTGATAGATTTGTCAGTCACATGGTTTGAGTACTTTTACCTGTCCTTGTTTTGCTGGCTTCACGTGCCGCTTCAGTCTTCACAAGATTCAATAAGAAGAATCCTGAATTGTCGAGATGCGTGTTAATGCAGGATGTGACGAGGATATTTCTCTGTGAAGGTCAAAGAAATCTGGCCTGAGCTTTTGTAACATTCTTTCCCCCTCATGCCATTGATCTTCTGAGATTTCTGATAATAATTACTATTGACAGCCAAGAATATATTCTTTTTTTTTTTTTTTTTAACCTTCACACTCGTCCTGGTTTCAGACAGCAACAGTGGAGTAAAAACTGACATTTGGCCTCTGGCTTTGCAGAGGTTGTAACACAAAAACGTGTACAGAAATGGAGCAGTATTCATTCACTCATTCATTCATTCATTCATTCATTCATTCATTCATTCATTCATGTCTCTGTTGTCCCTGATAACAGTTTTGTACAGGAGACGTATCAAGCATGTGCTTGCAATGAAATCAATTTTATTCCAAATATGACACTGAATTGTCCATCTTTTGCTTGTCTTATTTTATTCCCGTTATTTTAAAATATGGAAAAAGAAAACCCCTGCTTAAATATGAATATTGTTTGTAGGCAACGCACAAACTCTGACCTTCACGCATCCCACATATGGTCAATCTCTCCAAGGCACAATGAAGTCAATGTTTGGTTTATTTCTTCAAACTTTCCATGTATTGTTTTTGGAAGCATGTCAAACATCTATGGAACTATGTCGAGCTTTAAATAATTTGTTTAAAAATATTTAGGCATAAAGACATTTAAAGTAAATATCTAAATGGTGATGAATTAAAGGCGCTCTTGAGTAGTTTTAATATTATATACACAAACAGCCACTAAAATGGGACCATTCTTACCCCAAGGTGGGAAATATTCCAAGGAAAAATTTCATTTGAATTTAGAGTTTAAAGCACCCACACTATTTATTATGTTTAGTATATATTTTATATAGAATAGAGGGTTTTTGTTTATATAAAAAAGATGCTGGAATAAATCAGAGATTATGTAGAGTTTAAGTGAATAGTTTAATCTTATTGTACTAAATATACTGAGAGGCTTTAAAAAACAACTTTTGTTTCATCCTATTATAACATATATAAAGAGAACAATTATCGACTTGTACTCAGAAGATGTTTCTATATCTTACATGTCAAGATTAACTCAGAAATGAAAACACTTTTACACTCAATAGCAGCGGCTTGTTATTAAAATACTCAACGACTTCCACAAGTTTATGAAACGTTTACAACGTAAATGAAGTGCTGTTGTGATGCTGCTTGTTGTTGTTTCCTTTGCCACTCATTGGGAGAACATTCCAGATGGAGCTGCATATCCTTATTAATATGTTAATCATTGTAATTTCCCAGATATTTTAGCCTTGTCCATCGTTAAATGCTGACAAATTGGGTGTGAGCTTTGACAAGAACCAGACTTGGATATTTTATATAACTTGACAGAATGGAACTGTAATAATCTCACACCATATATCCAGATACAACTACTGTTACATCCTGAATGTCTATAGTGTTTTTTTTTGTATATAAAGAGCCATAAAAAAAAGTTTGTTTTCTTCCTTGATGTTGCTTTTTTCCTGCTGCATTTTGATGAAATGTTTAACAGAAAGCATTTACGTAAAAGCGTGACCTACATCCTGACAGATCATATATTGGGTATATTGGACTTTTGAATGCAGGTCAAATGGAGATATTTCTCCTCCAAGCTCATGTGAAACCAAGACAACTTCCTCCTGCTCTTCTTTCACAGCTTTGTAATTTTCACTGGATACATCATAGGATCTCAAAATCCCAGAGAGCTTGTGCTTCCTGTCGACTTGCTGGAAGTGCACATTTTCCTCGCCTCGTTTCTACGTGTTGCGCCCCGTCTCTCACAGGCTTCCCCTCAAACCACAACCTCGTTTTGAAGGAGGTTTGTCTGAAATTAGAAAACTACTTCTGGAAATGCCCAGCCTTCTCTGACATCGAGAACAAACCACAAACTGCTGAAGTTTGAAGGAAGCCAGTGTCGTTTTAACAGCCTTTGGCTCAGTTGTGTTGATATTCACAGATTCTCTGCCGAGTTTTAGGTCAGGCCGGTTTGTTGGCAGAAATGCCGGGGTGATTGAACCAAGCTGCTAGTACTTTTGGCAGCTGAAGAATACATCTTCATAAATCTTGTCAGCAGATAACTTTTTTTTTTATTATTCCCAGGGTATACAGCTGCACTGA